TAGCATATCTTTATAAACACATTAGCGGATTGTTAGTGAAGTTGATGTGCATGAATATAAAAATTTGAATTTGTCAAGTACCTTCGACACCTCGACAAAACTAGTGACTCTTCTGGCAATGCATAAATTTACTTTCTGTATGTTGGAAGAAGCTGTAACATGTTGTAGAAGGCACCGGACTATTACATCAAGTTTTGTTATTCTTAGAAAGCACCTATCATCTATGTCGGATACCTTTCACTCCATGGTACAGCTTCCTACAACATACGAAAGCTCTTGTTATCCATGTATGTAATCATATAGGAAGTAAATTAATGCATTTCAAGACGTAAGGCACACCAGAATTTCAAGTTTTGATATTCATAGACGTCAAATTCACTAATAATCTACTAGTTTGTTTACATATGCTAGAGTATGGGAGTACATTCTATCTCTTAGGATGAATAAAGCTAAAATATTAAATAGAGTTATTTCTGTAGTATTTAAAAAAAAATTAATTTTAACATTTTTCAAGTTTTGTTAATTAATATTAATCATATGTGGTCATGAACATATGTTTGAAACCATTAAAAATTAGGAATAGTTAAAATATATATTGTTGGTTTATTGCAAAAAGTCATCAAGTAACATTTTAATAAATGTGAGATACTAGAACTTGAAGTTTCTGATTCATTACAAAACTACTAAAATAGCAATTTGACTATTGTTATTTGCAATTCTAAATACGTATTTTTTCCCAAAAATTAATTAAAATACTTGACATATACATTACAATGAATAAAAATGAAAAAGCTGAAACCATGACGCACATAGCGACTTTTTGCACACTACCATAGTTAAACAAAATGGTTATGTACTTACTTTTATTACTTAGCAAGTACATAGAATGTGAGTTAGATTTGCGGAACTTAATTAGTTTTATTAACCATTGGATTAATTAATCCATTGAAAGAAGTCATTAAGTACTGGATAGTGAATTTTGGGATTCTACTTTAGCCTCATTTAAAGAACAGGAATATCATAAAGTAACGTGATGACTTTTTGCTCTGTAAAGTGAGATTATCATGCACTTAGTGAAACTACCTTCAAGTTCAAATCGATCAAAAGTGTACCTAGGAATTTTTTGCAATAAACCGACGATATATATATATATATAAAATATTTCTGTACCTTGAGCTCAAATTATTTTAAAAATTCATGGGATCTCACTGTGTAGTTTGAGTCATCAAACTTATGAATTAGTTAGGAAGTTTGTTAAAAAAATTATTGTATATCTACAAACAGTGAAGCTAAATAAATGACCCTTGTTGTAGCTTTGCTGTAGTCAGGTAATAGCAATTTTGTTTGATAAAATACTTTAATCTTGTAGGATATATTATAAATGGCATCAGACAATAAAAAAATATGGAATTGTTTGATATAAATATTTTAGTAAAAAAGGTTTATACACAAATTTTTGTGTAATATGAACCTTGTTTTGAAATGACAACAGACATGAAACAAGTTAATTGATAAATAATATTACGCCTGTACATTATGGAAGGAAGATAACTTTCTCATGAAGGAAGGATCTGGTTCAAATCCTATTCTAATAGACACTAATGTAATTTTGTTAGGGTAAGAACTGCGGTTTGAAAGGCACTTTTTGGTCATTGAAAACCAGTGCTGACCACACTGTCTTCCAACAATATCGTTACAGTTTGGAAATCAGGCACTTTTAACAATGCCTGAAACAGTGAAGAGTTGATCATGCTTAGGTAAGAGACCGATTTATTATAAAACTTCGAATGATATATTTAAATTTTCCAATAAATAAAAAACAATTCTTTTAAAATAAATCAAAATCAACTAATCAGTCCTAGTTTATGTTTTTAAAATTCACTGTCTGAATCTGATATCCTTTAGAACAATAAAAAAAATAAAAAGATTTCATTAATAAATTCTAAGTAATTAAAGATTAAACAATAATTTAGATTAGAGCATTTTATATGATTAATAAGTCACATTCTAGCATTACCAAAATTATAAATTAAATGCAACATACTATTTATTTATAATAGTTAAAAAAATATATAAATTAACACATTGATTTCTACTATTATATGTATACATGTTCATCGCAGTTTCACAGTTGCAAAATAAAACTCTTTGTCACATATGTGTTTCACAACCTGGTAAATAAAAAATCAAGCTTTATCAGTTAATAGAACATGAATAACTTTAATAAAAAATAATTTTAAAAATATTTAAATTAATTTAAAAATAAATCACTTGTAGCCATTTTATCAATAAATTCTCAAAGTAGATGAGGGGCATAAAAAAGAAAAACTAAAATATAATATATTAGGAACTCCAAAATATAAAAATCTTAATTATTGGAAAAAATTGAGGATAATTATTTAAGGAGTATAATCTTCAAACATAAATACATTCTTATTCAAATGCTTCCTCTATTATGATCAAATAACAGACAACTAGAAAATCTAAAGGTATGTTCAGAAATAATGAAAACACGAAGGTCTAAATTAGTTGTTTCTCAAGGATAGAGTTTTAGTTTCTTTTTTGTGTCCGTTCCTTCTGCTGTCGGCTTTTTAAAAGAAATCAAATGGAGTTTGGGTACGCACTAATGTAACTTTTAAACATTTGTTTATAGTCTGTGCTGGTTGAGAGATTTTGTTTAATTTAATGGCTCGCAGTATAATTGAAATGAATCATCTTTATCCACCACCTTCTTTGATGAATTTTACAACTTATTTCACTTTCTTTTGCTTCCTTTGGATTCTTGTTAAAATTATAATAGGTTAGAGAAAACGCGATCCTCAATGTCTGCCATTTTGTTTCTCTGGAAATATATAAATGTTTAAAAATTCCATTTTTTATGATTTTTGTTTGTATTTCTGGTCTTTTGGAATATGTAAACCCGGCTTAGAATACCTGAAATTATTCTAAATAAAATTGTTATTTTATGCATAGATGAATTATGAAATGATTTTTAATTAATATGATGTTTATGTACTACAGAAAATCCCTAGAGTCATAATAAATTTAAAAAATAAAGAAAAAATAACCAAATAAAGATAAAATAAAAAATTGTCTTAGTTTTTGAAACTCTATAAAAACAAAAACAGACTAGCATAATTAATAGAATACAAACAATATGAAAACTAAATTACTTGATCTTTATTTTGAAAATTTTTTGTATTAGAATTATTTTTACAATTACAATTCAATATTCAGAGCAATAACAGTCTAATATGATATTTCTATTCTAATAAAAGTTCTATTGAATTAAAGGTAGATTGATGGTAAAAATAAAAATAAAAATATAGTTAAAAAATCATTTTTAAAAAAATGAAACAAAAAAAACAAACAAAAAAATTTGTTGGTGGCTATGTTTATTTTTGGCTGATATTTCCTGTTATATTTTTTTCCTTTTAGTTTTTTTTATCCTCATTTTTTTGTTAAAGAATTTGAAGATATGCATTGATCCATAATTTACAAAATTAAAATGAATTCAATTGGGACTTCATACACTAATTAGAAACAGACAACTGCTTACATAAAAAGATTCAATAACAAGAAATAGCATTCTACATTTTAATATTCAGTAAGATTTCAAAGTTTGATGGTGTTCAAGAAGCTATCTAACAATCAATGTGTTAATTTATTTTGTTTTCAGTAATGGTTTACAAGTTCAAATTAAAGCAATAATTGACGAAAAAGGAATAAATTATAACCAGATAAATCTTTTATTACAAAAATACTTATCTGTTTGTATTAATCTGTTTAAACAAACAACTCACATAATAACTGAAAAAAAAGAAGCATTATGCACATTTTTGGCATAAAGTTAGACAATTTCATTGTTGGTAAATCAAAATTTACTGGTGCCAAATAAACAGAGAATGTGGCTATACATTTTAACATTGCAATATTTACATCAAAAGAAGTTACACGAGCTTGGGACAGTTATTAAATATATTTATAAAAAGAAAAACATTCAGTTTTTCATTGATGATGGAAAAGTACACTTAACATTAACACTTGTTTATACAGAATACAGGCTTCAGAAAATGTATAACAAAATGGTATGTAGATATTATCATTGAGTTTCAGATCGTTACTTTCATTTCATAACTTGGCATTCATAAGTTCAATAATATAGGTTTGACACAAAGAACACATTCATATGTACACCCATTCAAAAATAAAATGTAACAATTGTTAATATTCTGATATAGTTTTAATTATGTTTTGTTTTAAAACTTATACAATCACAAATAATTGTTTGTTTAAATATGTAGAAAACTTAAAGCATAAACACACAAACACACACACATGTATATATGTATATGTATATATAATATATAATATATAATATAATATATATATATATATATATATATATATATATATATATATATATATATTATATATATATTACATATTATATACATGTGCTATATTTTCAATCTGGCTACTTTACATATTTGTTTTATTCAGAATTTTTTTATTTACATTTAACCAAAGAATACTTTTGGAAGAGTGGTTAAATGAAAGTTTATTAATAAAAAAATGCTTATATATTATAAGGAATAAAGAAGAATATATTTCACAATTGTGATAATGATTGTTTCAATCAAGGCTTGTGTTTTGATGTTATGTATATTCAAGACATTTTTTCAGCATTATCACTTGTAAAGACCAAGTACTTGGCTACTAAATGAATATTATCTTAAACCTAATGGGTTAATCAAAAATATCTTTAATACACATACGTCTCAGCTTATTTATATATTATAGGACACAATACAAAAGATTATTAGTATATCAAAGTATTCTTACCCTTAGAAATGCACGCGCTGTTTGGATATCGGATTTACAAAATCTTTTCCCAAAACTATTTGTTTTATAAAATAAAAAATATCTCTCCATTACAAACTGAGAGAATTTTTTCTCCTTAAATTTATAAAAATCCAGTCTTTTTTTTAATCATAAAATTATATTCCATAGTCAAATGATTCCCATTCGCTAAATCGTGAATCTTGTTTCTGAAGTCGTCTTTGGCATGCTTCAAGATAGCTATCTTGTATTCTATACATTCCAGAATTTGCCTGATACATAAGAGTTTCGAGTATCCGCTCATTTTTTATAGCTTTACTTGGAAGAACAATCTGAAAGAAAATTATTAAATGAAACTTAGCTACTTGTTTGTCTACTCTATATCTGTATACATATTAGCATGCATAGATTAGGAAGATGGCATAACCATCACAAAGTAAATATTTCTTAAGCTTTTCTACAAATAAACAGCCCCAATATATAGTTTTTTTAATAAAAAAAAAATGATGATGATCAGAGGAGAAACAATGCAAATTAAGGAAGAGAGAGATGAAAAACTGTATAACTACATTTTTCTGAACATAACCAAACTCTGTCAGTATTAGTTAACTTTATACAAGTGCTTATAGTAAATTTTTAATTTTTAAAGTATCTTAAAGTATTAAGAACAATGATGATATAGAGATAATGGTAATGGATTTCCAAAAAAAATTGCCTGTCTCAAATATAACAAGTGACAAATATCACAAAATAAATGTTACAAAATTTTATTACAAAAAAAAAAACTAAATGTAAATTTATAAATGAGGAGTTAATCGGGGGTGCGGTCAAATAAATTTATTTGACCACACCCCCGATTAACTCCTCATATTATATCAACGGTCAACCATCTCTACATCATTGTAAATTTATAAAATATTTTAAGGTTTCAATAAAGTATTTAAAATCCACCTAATCAACGCAATGACATTGTTTAAAATACTATTTCATTATACTTGTGTGAAAGAAGATATAAAATATAAAATCATTTCATGGATGTATAAAGCGTATGTTTATAACCTTAAATACATTTACTGTAGTTTAATGATTCTAGATCTGATATTATATTTAAATAATTAGGTATCAAAGTCCGTTTATTCCGAAATATTGTCATGTAACTTTGTAGAAAATTAAATTAGTGAATAATTTGATAAGTCTTCTCTTTGTGATATTTTAACAGTATCCGCCACTATATTATTGTAGTTGTGTGAAAAATATTTCATAGATACGTTTATAACCTTAAATATATTTACTGTAGTTTAATGACTCTAGATTTCATATTATATTTAAATAATTAGGTATCTATCGTCCGTTTATTCCGAAAAATCATCATGTAACCTTTTAGAAAATTAAATTAGTGAATAATTTGATGAATTTTCTCTTTGTGATAATCCGACAGTATACACTTCCAATTAGTGTGACAACTTTTGACCTGTCTATGACAGACAATGCAAATCTCTTAATTACATTTGAGTAAACTTTGCAATGGAAAATAACAGTTTAATAACTTATACTCTCACAATTCATAATCAACCGGTGATATAATAAATATGACTTTTTTTATTATAATGGTATTTATGATTTATTAGCAGTAAGCATTTAGGTTTAGCTAGGTTGAAAATGCTATTAAAAAAATTTATAATAGCCCAACATGGCCAGAAAATAATTTTTATTCAAAGTTGAGCGGTAAGTGAAAGTTATGTGTTGTGGGCACCAGATTTTTTACTTTCACTTAATTATATATGAAAAATATAATAAGGGTAAGTATTGCGATTGTGAAAATTTTTGAATCTGAGTTTTCAGCAGAAATACATGTTTTGAGGTCTCCTGAGTCCAAATAACCAAGTTCTACAAAATGGTCAGTGTGTGTGTTAGCAGTCTAGCTCAAAAATGAAGAGTCGTACGAAACTGTTATTACGTATTTAAGATAGGTATATACCTTAGATGTGATAGCAACTTTTTCGTTATAATCGGCTAACGGAAATAAAAATCGGAAGTGCCACTTTATATCAATGTTGCAACACATTTTTACAATTTTCTCAAAAACGGCTCTAACGATTTTGATTAAACTCGGTGTATCATTGTATAATTAAGTGGTCTTTAATATCAATTAGGTATTATAAATTATAAATAATAATTTTTGAAAATAATATTATTTAACGTCAATCACATGTTTTCAAAGAAATTAAATGAAATTTCTAACTAAATGTAAACTATTAAACCATTTTTAAGTTTGAAAAGTTATTTAAAATCCATCTAATCAAAGCAATGATATTGTTTAAAAAACTATCTCATTCCACTTGAGTGAAAGAAGAAGTGAAATATAAAAATATTTTAGGGATATGTTGATAACCTTAAATATATTTACTGTATTTTGTTAGGGTTCTCAAATAATTCTAGATCTGATATTATATTTAAATAATTAGGCATCTGTCGTCTGTTTATTCCAAAAAAAAACATCATGTAACCTTTTAGAAAATTAAATTAGTGAATAGTTTGACGAAATTTCCTTTTGTGATATTCCAACAGGATCCACTTACAATTAGTGTGATAACTTTTGAGCTGCCTATGACAGACAATCCAAATCTCTTAATTCCGTTTTAGTAAACTTTGAAATGGAAAATAACAGTTTAATAACAAATAAAGGTACAATCCATAATCAACGGATCGTACAATCCATAATCAACCGGTGATATAATAAATAGGACTTTTGTTATTTTAATGGTAATTATGATTTGTTATCTGTAATTTTTTAGCTTTAGCTCGGTTAAAAATGCAATTAAAATTTTTTTTAATAGCCCAACATGGCCAGAAAATAATTTCTGTTCAAAGTTGAGCGGTAAGTGAAAGTTGTATGTTGAGTGCACCAGATTTTTTATTATTAATTTTAGTGATGTTTCTAGTGGCAAAATTTATACCTTTATTCACAGTTCCATATTTCAACACTGCAACCACTTGCTCTGGAATCAACTTTCTCACTGTCAGTATAGATACAACTTTACCAACTAGAAATATCACTAAAATGACATTATTAAAAAATTTTGAAATTTTAATTAGTCATTCTGTCAACTGAAAGGCTCAGAGACTAAAGCTGTGTGGTTTATAAAAGCAGATGGAATAAATAGATCTTTATTGCCTACTGATGATGTAATAAATAGATTTTTTGTTATTTTAATGGTCTTAATGACTTGTTATCTGTAAGCTATAAGCTTTAGCTCAATTTAAAATTTACTTAAAAAAATTTTATAATAATCCAACATTGCCAAAAAATAATTTCTATTCAAAGTAGAGTGGTATGTGAGTGTGTTGCGTGCACCAGATTTTTATTTAAGCTACAAACAAACTATGACCAAAAAACAAGTTGATGTGGATAATTAAGTCATTTTTCATGACACCTATGCAGACCAAAATAAAAAGAAAGCTGTCCTTCAATATTTAAATTATTTGGTAACATATAAAACACCTAGCTATGATAAAATTCTTTTTTTCAGCACCTTCTAATTAATTTTAATAAAACCAAACAAAATGGTATTTCAACTCTTGACCAGTTGTACTTATCACTTTAAAACAATCCAAAATAAAAGATCTGAAACAGTTTTTGTCTAAATATAAATTATCTCAGTTTCATGAAAAATTACAGGTTGGTTCCCAAAATGAGGATGATGAAGGCTACCAACATTTAGACAGTATCCCAGAAGAAGAAAATGTTGTTTGAAAAATCCTTGACTTTTGTGAGGAAAACAATTTATTTCCTGTTATTTTATTTTAAACTTTTTATAAAAAACAGATGTGTAATATTTTAATATATTTATGTCTAATATTAATTTTAAGTAAAAACCTGTACCACTACAACCCATGAAGGGTCTAGGGTTCAGTACTATTTAGAGAAAGTACTGTTTCTAGGTCAACGGTTGTGCAAGGAGATGATTTGACCGAGATCACGCCCAACCGCCAGGTTTTCCCCCTTAATTAATTATTGAATTAAGGTTACCCACTTTATAGAGGCTGGGTGTTCCCTAGGAGGGACTCTCAACCCAGGGTCCCCCCACGGCCAATGAAACAGATAAATAAATTTTCTGCCATGAGCCGGGGTTCGAACCTAGGACCTTTGCATTAGAAGCTCAGTGCCCTACCACTGCGCTACCCCACTCCCTAATTTTAAGTAATAAAAAGGTTAATTATTTTTTTTGCAAATTCGCTTTATTTATTTTCCACTCATTAGTGCTTAAACAATGGAGATAAAGTGGATTGACTGGGAAATCAGAACTAATACATTTTCATTGTAAAGAAAATAAAAGTGATATTATGTATTCAAGTAATATGTATGATATTATTAAAACAATATAACTATAGCTATAAAACAAAAAAAAAACAAACAGTATAACTATAACTATTGAATTAAACTGGAATGAAATATGTCAAGCAACAGGTGGAATTGCAAAAGGAGACGAGTCAAGGGGGTAAGAAGACTTTCCTTGTAGATGGATGATCCACATCAATTCTTTTGACGATTTGATCTTAATATTGGTACGCTATTATCATTCTTTGCCGAATTTATTAATATTTTTAATAAATTAAATACATTGGTTAAAAAAATAAATATGTAAATAACATAATTCAAATAAATAATTATTGGAGTTATCTGTCAGTTAAAGAGCACTGAGCATTGTTTTTAATAATTAAATATATCTAATGAATTTATTTGGTATGGTTTAAAATTTATTAATACTACTACATGGAGGAAAGTTACATTTTATGCTTATGAATCCTAAAAATATGGATTGTTTAAGTAACCTTGGGCCTCAAAAAGTAAAAATAATGAGAATAAAAGATAATGAGCAATTTCGTGGCAATGTATAATAGAAGTTCATAAAAACCATCATTTAAATATGAGAGTCAAGTCATCTTAAGAATAATTTTGAAAAACATTGTATTTGATTTCACGTTGTGTTTTTATTTAAAAACATTTTTCTTTAAAAAATAAACCAAAACAAAATGAATAGTATAACAGCTACATAAATCCATTAATAAACTATTACAAATAAAATTTTCATAATGATAAAATACCTTTATCAGATCTTGAGGAGATATCCTGTAAAGTTTTAAATCTCTGGACAACCGTTCCATGATACATTTGAATTCAAGTTTGGCATCAATTTTAGAAGACGTCTTTGTTTTTATTTTATGCCTTGCCCAACTCAGCATAGCCTCAAATTTTCTTACCTCAGCTATATCTAAGTTACGACACATTATCATTTGAACCATCGACTCAGATAGAGTCAAAAATTCTGGAGTTGGGAAAAGCTGAAATTGAAACATATAAATTAATGAAACATATTTTATGATATATTGGAGCATAAAGAGTTATTGAATTATTTTTCAACAACTGTTATAATTAATTCATAAACTTTAATCTTATAAGATTTAAAATTCTCTCATTCATTTGATCTCTCATTTTTAAATTCATAAAACAAAAATATATTTATATAATTGAGAAGATTTTTTTAAAATTCAAAAAGACATTAAAAAAAAGTGAAAACCGAAGACTTCATATTTCTGGCTTAACATTTATAGGTTAAACTTCTTAAACTGCTATATAGGGGACCCTAATTCAAATTTGAGAAGACCGGATAGGTAGGGATGGAAAACAACTCACTCTATTACCCATTTCCAAACCAGATACTGCTAGCAGAAGACAGAAACCATCATGGCACATGCAGTCATAATTCCATATCAAGTACAGCACTCTCTCTCTCTCTCTCTCTCTCTCTCTCTCTCTCTCTCTATATATATATATATATATATATATATATATATATATATATTCTGCAGAACTTAATAGTAAAATAAATCGGAGCACAAATTCAATTGATTAACAATTAAAGAATTATTGGCCAATCTTTTATTAAATTCATGATCGTTAAATATTAAAGTCATTGAAGTTTTATAGTAAAGAACAGTTGTTTGTTAAAGGGTATAATTTGTAAATGGTTAATTTTAAATGATTCATATTTGGGGACATAAAATTATAAGAGTTTAATTATAACATTTTGTTGTTTGTAGTCCAGTATATTAGCCTTCATATAACAAACAATCCCAATTAATGATTTAAATATTAATTATTTCACATCAATTATTTGTTGCAGCTTCTTCATCTGACAGTGTTCTAATAAAATTTAAATATTAGGTCTCCTCTTCAAGGAATATTATATCAATAAACAGGTAGGCAAATGGTCATAATTAGAAACGTTTTTAATAAATAGATAAAATAAATAAGGCTGATTAGGAAGATAGTAACAATATATATATATATATATATATTAAATTACAGCGATCTATAGAGGTCACAGTAACAGAGAAGATGAAATTGCTTATCACTATCACATCACCTGTTGGTTGGAAAAGTTCACTGGAATTAGGCTTCTGTTGTTTGGAAACGTCCCCAAGAACAATGTGCTTGTCAATCTGACAAGTCTTCTATAATTTGCTGATATTGACAAAATAATGTTGAAAATAGGAACAACGTTGAAATTAGGGTGCACAATAGACCTGTCATGGCTGCAGTGCATTTTGCCCTGGGAAAAAAGAAAAAAAAGAAATAGGGATATGGTCTAACTTCCCGCGGGGATCAGCCATACTGGGAAGTAGGAGTCAGGATTCAATCCTAAGATCTTCACTTTACAAGTACAGAACTCTAACCATTCTGCTATAGTAGCTCACATATATCCTATATATATCTTTAATTTCTGTTTATTAATATATAATTTAAATATTTCATGTTAAAATCAAACATATTCTGATTGCCTTCAATTTTATTTTTTGATAAAGGAACAAAATTGAATACTTCTGCTCTATCTCTAATCATAAATATCTCCATTAGACTACAAAAATACAATCTAATCTTCAGCTACTTTTGTGATACTCGTCCAAAAAAATATATTGAATATTTAAAATAGATCATTCCACTGATAAAATAACATTAAGTTATGAAATCAATTTAGTATAATCAGCTCTGGTTAACAAAAGATGAATTTATAAAAAATATGTTCAATAATAAACAAAGAAGCTTGTTTTAGAATGATATCTTTTAAATTCCTTAAGAGAAATGGTCCATCAATATTTTTTGTGATTAATATGAATTTATTTATCCTAATTTCTTTCCACAGGCCTGCAATTGTATTGATCCATTCCTGCCATAATTTTTGAAAATCTTTAGTAGCCACACAACAAATGTACATATCAAAGAACTTGAATTGTTTTAACTTTCAGCATTTTTAGCTTACTACAATTCGGGTCTAACCACCAAAGCACAAACTGAGATAGAAACTATGTCTATGGAGAAGAGGGAAAAGAACTGGCAACTGTTTTTACAACTGGCATTTAATAACATTCAACGTTTCTTAAAAAAAGAAATCCTCACAAGCTCTATTTAAAAGAAGATGTTTTTGTATTATTTTGTACCATGTCATAGTTTTATACTAAAGTTATGTTTTTTTTATAAGCCCATAAGTATTGAATTATGATAAATATTATAAATAAACTTAAAAGAAAGATTTCCTGGATGGGCTTGAAATAAATGAAGTTTTGAAATGTCTCTCGGTGACCATATTCACCATGACTAAAGTTAGTAGCCACATCCGACACTTGCCAGGTAAGATCATTCCTTGGGCAATTGACATCCAGCATATCTCTGCCTGTTATGTAAATTACTTTTGTAGCTGCTATTTCTCTATTCTTGCCATTCTCCTATATTTTGGTAGCTGCTAGTTCTGAATGCTGGTTCCCTTCAACTTACAACTGCAAGATCCAGTAGCTGGTTACCACCACTTCGATTTACTTTTCCCTTAGCAACCTTTGTAGGCTGTTTTTCGACAGATTGGGATAAAGTCGGCTGGCTGGTTCCCAACGATTACCTCCGGTCTAGTCCTTTACTCTATTCCTTTCTCATATCTACCACTTGTACTATCTGTACGAAATTATGAGAACACCTCGTATTGAGGCCTTCTGAATACTAGATACCTCCATGACAAAACCACAATGTTACAACTTATGAAATTAATATAAATATTCCAAAAAAAACATTGTTGATAACAAAGTTAACTTAAAAATATTCCTTAATACATTTACCTGATGAGCTCTAGTTTCTACAAAAGCAAGTATCATGTTGACTAGCTCTGAAGCTGATGTGTATCTCCAATAATAATTTTCTAGTGAACACAACATGCAGCAAACCTGTAAAAGTTCAACAAATTTTGAATATTTGAAAAAAAAAATGTCAGGATTGAATGGCTATCATTTCTGTAATAAATAATAAAATTGAAATATTTAATAATTACTTTCTGTAATCAAAATTAGTTACAAGAAACTACAAGAGAAAATATGAAAAAATATTTTTTATCTATTGTTGATTTTAATTTTCACAACCAAAAAAAAAAAAAAAAAAAAAGCAAATATAAGTTCTATATATTTATTTGAAAATATTGTTGATTAACAGTTTGAGACAAGATGGAGAAAAATAAATTTTTCCCACTTAAAATAATTTGTTTAATACTTAAATTACATGAAAAACTTGTGAATAACAATGAAAGCTGGTAAAGATTTTAAAACTCACAACAACACAAGTTTCATATAACAATATTGTTTTATGATTTGCGACAGCAATAGTTTTCAGTTACCATTTAAAGAAAACTACTGCAGAATCACATCAAATGCTTGTCAAAGCATACTGTGAGCATACTCTTGATAAATCGTAGTGCTTCCAATGGTGTGAAAAATTCAAAAGTGATGATTTTGGCGTATGAAATGAAGAATGCTGAATGTGGGTATGGTGTATTATGAGCTGCTAAAACCTGGTGAAACTTATATTACTGAATGCTATTGAAAACAAATAATCAATTTGAATTGAATATTGCATGAAAATGACTAGAGTATCAAGACAACACAGTAATTTTACTTTATAACAATGCTCCATCAAATACAGCAGAGGCAGTAAAGAAAATGATTAAGGTGTTCATTTGGGAAATAATAGGGCATGCAGCTTACTCACCAGACTTGGCTCCATTTGACTACTAGTAAATTGCATCAATAGGGCATGTAATGGTTCAGCAGCACTTCATTTCTTATGATAATGGTTTGATGACTAGTTTAATTAAAAAATAATCAACTGCTAATCTATTTATTTAAATAAATCATAAAAAATATTCTATTAAAACTAAGTGTTTAATTTATATTTCATATAGAACTATCGATTTTTCAAAGTAAATTAAAATTTTAAAAAATGAGGAAGGGAGGAGAGTAGGGAGATGGGGTTGAAGTATTTATGTACTTGGTCCTTGTGTTTTATTTATCATGAGGGCAAACAATATCTTTTTGGAAAATTTTATTCTTCTAAAACTAAATGACAAATAAATGGGAATCCTTGGAATGCGAAATATAGGTATGTTTGTCCAACTGTCGGTCCAGAAATTAGCAGTTTAATATAAAGTTACTCTTTAACTATACATATTAATAAAGTAACAATATTTTATTAAAAACTTTAACATGTTAACATGGTTTCTTCCAGTTTACAATCACATCATCTGAGCCATTCTTCTGACCTATGCCAGTTCAGCTTGAAGCTTATCAGAAAACTCAACCTAAAAATCAATAGGTTTGAGGTATATTATTAAGGCTTAATAAGAGAAGCGGGAGCATATAGCAGAGAAACCCAGACACCTACGAGAATCAGATAATACCATACCACATGGCTTGGGAACGTACCCAGAAAAGATGATGGGCGAGTACTAAAACATTGTTCAAGGGTATCCCAAATGAAGTCAGACCTCATGAAAGAAGGTGGAAAGACTAGTTGGCTGAGGTATGCAGACAAGCATGTAACTGGACAAGCATGACTGGAAAAAGGCATTTGTGGGGGCGAAGAGCAGCTTCATGCCCCTGTTGAGATGATAAATAATGATTTTGATCAACTTAAGTTACTGCTATACAACGGATTTGGAATTTTACTGTCTAAATATCTTGTATTGATTATATCAGCATAATCCTTGAATCAAAAATCATTGCATTCCTCCTCTGCTATAAAAACTCATACATAGTCTTTAAAGTTTCACCATTGACCCAATACTGATAGGAGGAGATTGAGAGGTAATCAGAAATAGGGACTGACAAGGACAGATTGCCTTTTTTAAATCACTCTTTTCTACACGGGAAACCTTAAAACATTTAATAGTGTCTCTTTAGTTTTAGCTTACAGATTTCAAAAGCTACATTTTATAAGGAAAACATAAAATATGTTTTCTATTTAACAATTAAAAAAAGTATTAAAGTAGTATTTTTCTATCTTAATTTTAAAGAAAATGTCAATATCATTACCACTTCTATACGAAGAAATTGCTTAGCATGGTGAAAACAAGCTTGAAGAAGTTCTGGAAGATCATAGTGTTCTGCTGCACATATTAGTCCAGGAATATTGGCACACGTGAGAGGGCATGAGCTTGTATGCAGATAATCCAACAATATTCTAAAGGTATCAGCATCAAACTCTATAATTGAAAACTGAAAAAAAAAAATTCAAGATTCACATTTTCTATCATTGCATTTTTAACTTTAACGAATAATTATTGAATATTGTAAATAAGGGTATCCAAATTATGATCCATGGGCAGTTTATAAAATAAATTGCTAAATGGTGATGGGTCAGAGAATAAAACTAACACATATTGCATATTCAGAACAGCACCCAAATAAAGGTAGCTAAATCATTGCAATATCAAATCATGTTCTCAAATATATAACATTGTAATTACAAAAATGGTTTTTGTACAATGGAATTTACTAAGATGTTTATTTCATTTGCATAAACACAGTTTGAATTGGGTTTGCTGATAATTTCATATGAGTAAATTACTGGAGTAGCTTCAATCTTAAGGAGAAAAATGGGTAGGATAGTGGAAGGGAGGGAGATGGATCTCCTCTCATTCATACAGGAGTCTCCCTCATTCTTAATAGAATGATTAGACCTTAGAGCCCTACTACCGCTTGCAATTTTCCAGTCCATCCTATCCCTACCAACACAGACTGTCACCTCCATGTGGTGCATCATGAGGAGTCCAATGGGACTTGCAAAATACAGAGACCAATTTGCCCAAAGGAAAGATTCTCAAGCTAAAGCAACATTCTGATATGATCAAGCTTCCTTGAAGGCCTACAGCTAAGGATGCAAGGGCCATACTGGGCCTGGTAAACTAGACTGCTTCATCTGTGATGAAGCATGTTAATTTTTTAGATGTAAAGATGCTATCTCCAAGGCCAGCATCTAAGGACGAGGGACCCATAATGCAGGCACTGAAGTAAGGTCAAAATGTCTTAAAAAATGTCCAACATTGTCATATGAGACTTCTTCACCTGTTGCAAAGAAACCTCAGAAGATCAATAAATTGTACCAAGGCTGAAGGGACAATTGGTTTCTTGCAACTATCCACAAATACAGTTGTCATTATGAACAATATGAAGCACTCAAGGACAAAATAACAGGTAAAGTAGATCAGTTAGATGAGGAAGGAAAAGATCAACCATTATTTGATGGCACAAGCTATAAAATGAGCAGTTATATCTTATTATGCCTAAACAAAAATTCCAAATTTCTACTTGAAAAACCTAGCATTGTTATTGAGGAGAATATAACTCTTTTCACTAGGGATATCCAGGAACTCATAAGATTTCCTAATCTTAAAAATAGTTTAATACTTTCTTTCTGGGGAAAGTATTATAAGATGAAATGTTAAGGCACAGAATGCACAATATTGCAGTCGAGGGAGTTCTATTCTATTCTAAGGCTAATGCATATCATGCAATATGGGGCAGGTCAAACATCAACCCATGAGGTTCGCTATAAAAAAGAATACAAATCCTATTATGCATCAAAAATATCTAAGTGCACTAATGTTTTTAATTCACATAAGGAAAATTCATTCATTCACTCAGTGATTTAATTATATAAAATGTTACTGAATAACTTTTTGCAATAAACCCACAATACCCATTATATAATGTTGGGATACTAAACCTACGAAACAGTTGAGTATTGTAGGTACTGTCTAGCCTCTTATCTTTCATTTTTCAAGATATCAAGAGAAAATTTAGGAACATCTAATAAACAATATCTGAAGAAAATGTTATATAGATATTCCTATGGAAGTAAGTCACTGTAAAAGATGTCAATAAATGTGGAATTAATGTGTGTGTGTTTTTTTTTACCTTACAGAATGTTTAAAATCAGTTATAGTTTAATACTTTTAAAAACAAAGTTAAAAATAATATGATGTCATACCAGATTGTAGGTGCATCCCTTAATGATTAGATATGGTAAGGATGTCTTTATACCACTTTCCAGTTTTGATCTTTTTTCCTAAACTATCTTCTCACTATTTTTTGTCCAAAGGTCAACTCAATAAAATAATCACATTTAGTTTATTGATTATTCTTTATTAGCGTACGTTTTAGGGAATCTTTGTCCCCCTCTTCAGCGTATAATATGACTGGGAATTAATTAAAATAGTTTTGTTTTAACAATTGACCAAACTTATTAATAACCAGAACTAACACCATTTAGGAGCATATTATATACAGACAGGGAGAATCTCCGAAACGTACACCAGTAAAGAATAATTAATAAATTGGGAGTGATTACTTTATTGAAAAAAAAGTGAGAAAAATTTTTATTTGGTTCAGGTTAAAATTTATATAAGGAATGATTCTCTATATCTGACTAAAAAAGTTGATAATTTTTATGAAAAACAGCTGGATACTTCCAATTTTGGGTGGATTATTGAAGAGTGTTAAATCACAAAATGACCAAACATAATTTAATATATAACATACAATATAAAACATCATAGAGATAGGTAAGTAGTCGAATGATGAATTATATGGATGAAACAGAGTTGTCAGGAATTTTAGTCAAAATTTAGTTAATGAGTTAATCCACATTTAGACCCAAACATATGGGACGTCATCATGGATAAAAATTACAAATTATAAAATAATAAATATAAAAGTGCAAGGGTAATAAGAGCAAAAGAATGAAAGTAACTAGATAATAGTAATAAGAATACATAAGTAAGATAATATTAACAAGAGTAAACAATAAAATCGGCAAAATGATAAAAGTAAAAGGTGAAATTTACAAATGAGATAATGGTTTGGTTTTGATGTTTTAGGCACAAAACATCTAAGTCTTCAGCACTTGAGATAATGGTTATAAAAGCATAAAAATAATAAAAACATTGAAATACGATAATAAAATGATTTTTTGTTATAAATAAATGAAAAAGACAAGTACAGCAAAAGTAAGAATTAATAAATCAAATAATCAGTGTACAAGAACAAAAACAACTAGCGGATCCAGCCGGGAGCACGGGGGGTGCACACCCTCTCTTGAATGTTGGAAAAAAATCCGAAAAAGTGACACAAACACTCCTATTTAAAGAAAAGAGAAATGTAGAGAAAATTCATCCTCATACAAGAATTTCCAAATGTAATATAAAAAAAATTATTATCGTGAACAGCACTAGTGAATTTTGCCAGGGGGGGCGCCCCCCCCTCTTGGATGGTGAAAAAATGAAAGAAGTTTTGATTGAAATTCCTGACAATTTTGTTTCATCCATAAAACATCGTATCAGTTGTCAGCAAATAATGTAACTGAGTAATTGTATTTCACCTCAACTTGAGCTAATTTTGCTCTGTCTACTTTCTGCACATCAGCACAGACACTCAGTCTTGGCACAGCGAGTTGAGAAGGAGCTTGTTTATCTTTATCTTTTCCATCTTTTCCCTCTTTGTCTGTAAAAAATAATGAAAAATTATTAGCACACTCTTTAATTTTTTAATAAACTATATCATAATGCTTTAATCCAATGTAGGTTTACAGTTAGAACTAAAGCAAATCCATACTAATAATATAAAACCATTTCCACCATAAAAAATGAGGTCTGTTACATTGCTAAAAAACAAGGAGAATGAGTCATCTAATAACAGAAGATGGATAGACAAGGTAAAACGGAATTTAAAAAATAAGGAGATTTTCTAAAAAGATTCAACATTAAATCAATAAAAAAAAAAACACCTAAAATATAAATAGCAAAGAGAAGCAACAAAATTAAATATCAGCTTCAAGTTAAAAGAAACTCACAGAAGTATTAAAAAAATATCTGTATCGCTACAACCCATGAAGGGTCTTGGGTTCAGTACAATGTAGGGAAGTACTATTTCTTGGTCAACAGTTGTGCCAAGAGATGATTTGACCAATATCAAGCACAATCACCAGGTTTCTCACTTTAATCAATTATTTAATTAAGTGTACCCACTTTAAAGAGGGGATGTCTGGGTGTGCTCCAGGAGGGTTTCCCGACTTTAGGGTCAATCACGGCCGATGAAACAGGATAAATAATTTATCTACCATCAACTGGATTCGAAGCTGGGATCTTCAGTACTAGAAGTCAGCTCTCTACCACTGAGCTACTCCACTATCTTGAAATTCTTAAGTGAAAAAAAAATCTTAAGTGAAACTTTAAAGAAAATTAAAAGCAACAATGTAAAAAAAAACACAATTTAATGTAAAGCTAGCACTTAAACAAAAAGGCTAGATAGTGTTTTAGAGTAATGAAAAAAAAAATATTGTGTGAGGAAACAAATGGAGACAACGTCTATTTCACTGATCAAGTGGAATTTCAAAGCGGTAGGAGCTGATGGAAAAAGTCCAGAAATGTTCAAGAAGATTAGTTTCCGAAGTGCGAAATTGGTAAATAATGCTATGATGTTAAAATATAATAGTTTTAACAGTACATACTTTATTAATGGTTTAATCTGAAAATAACTTTGGTGGAATTTATACTTTACCATTGTATAGATGCTAGATTAGAGAAAATAATGTTATTGAAGAATGTGCAAATGAATATATATAAAATTAAATGAGCATTTTGTAGCCCAATTGCAAAATTTTGTATTTCCTTAATATATCTCCTATTAAGTATTAAAATTAATTATTGAACAATAAACATAAAACATGAAGAATGCAATCTCATTTGCCTTTATGATTAAGTACAGCAATCAAAATCTACAGTTGGTTCCTTTCTGGAATTGACCGTCTAATCATCAACCCCTTGAAGAAAAATCAGGATTGACTTAATCTTTTTTACCTTTAGGATTAGGGTGAGTATGAGCTCTGTTTAATTTTTTTTCAGATACATTCCAAAGGATCAGCTGGGAACCAAAAGACTCAGAACCCACCAGCTGTTGTCTGTATTCGAACCAAAACCAACCTCCAGCCTCTGTTGGTCAAAGTATTTAAAATAACTTTTAGCTCATATGTTATGTGCAATACTGCTAGTTAAATACAATTTTTTTACTGCTATTATTTATTTTTAGTTTGTTTATGTTTAATGGTGTAAAATTTCTTTGATTATCAATGCTTTATAGTTTTCTACTTAATTTTTATACATTAACATCCACACAAAAGGGAGAGACAATTATTTGGCTATAAGGGAGTTCAATATTCATTTCAAGCCATCTATTAGAAATCTTTTTGTGCAGATTGACACTATACTTCAATTGGATGAACTACATGCAGTTTTTAGAACAGCATGAGTTATGAAAGCAGCTTTTTATCAATGCCACAATATCAGGTTTTCCATAAAGTTCCTGCAGCTCCAAATTCCATTCTCAGAGATTCCGCCCCATATTCTTTTCAATACTTTTCTCTTCCAGGAGTTGAGTGTGCGTTTTGAGTTTTTAGGTCCAAGAATCACACTAATACATAACCATTGGTCTTACTATGGTTATGTAGATGAGGATTTTGGTTCTTTAAGAGATTGATCAGAATTTCAAGTGAGAAATAGCATCTATTTCCTGCTGCTACCCTGGCTTTTATTTCATTTTCTATTTTATTAATGCATGTGACCAGGCTTCCAAGATACTTGAACTGGTCAGTGGGCTTAAAGTTGTGATCCCTTATAGTTATTTCCGTATTCACTTCCTTTTCTTTTTTTGAACTTTTCATGTAAACTGTCTTATTTCCATTAACTCTAAGGCCCAGTTTAGCCGCTGGCTCTTAAAATTCCTAGAAAGTTCCTGATAATGCTGCTTGGGTTACAGAGATAATGGCAACATCATCGGCATATACCAGATGTTGAGATACACAATTGTAGATTGTTCCACCTGGATGTGTTCAATAGAACGAATAGCCACTTCCAGGGCAAGATTTAAAAAAAGGAGATAGGGGATGACCCTGTCTTAATCCATTATCCAGCTCAAATTCTACAAGAGAATTTGCAAGCTTCACTTGACAGGCAGTCTTCATTAGCATCATTTTTGTAAGTCTGACAAGTTTCTTGGGTATGCTTTATTTCAATAAGAGAACTGTAATAATTAGGAAAGAAGAGAGAAAAATTGATCTTATTTACAATTTTATTTACTCACTCAGAATCAAGAATCAAATAGTTTTAATATAAATGCTCAATTTTAATTCCAGCAAGTAATTAAAACATAAAAATGGATTAAATGAATAAATACTTGCTGTAAATATATTACAAAAAGAATAAAGATAATAAATAATATCATAATTATCAGGTAGATTATTATTTTAATTAGAATAAGGATTTTAAAGATTAAATAAGAACTGCAAAATAAATATGATTAAACAGACAAATTAAACAAATCTCATAAATCTAGATATTACTGGAACAGTCTTGTGAGGAAGCCCATTTTTTCTTGTCATCAGCAGATAAATGTGAATGTTGTTTCCTTATAGATCTGCCCCATCCAGCTGTAAGAGTTCCAAGTCTTGAAAATGCTCTTTTTACCATTGGTGAACTTGGTACACTTTTGGGTCTGAAATGATACCGGAAATATTATGTATATACCTATACATATTTATATTTAAAAATGAAATTCATTCATATTAAAAGAAACTTATATATCATTTTTCAGAATCAGGTACTAAAAAAACAAAACAAATATCGATGATTTTCCTAAAGTTATAATTGTCATAATATATCAGAACTATGGTGCTTCAAGCATTAGTTTTGAAAATCCTGAATCAAGTTTTCAGTAATATAAATGAATTCTGGCCTGAGTGTAAAGCAGGCCTTTCTCCTATATGTTTCAACCATGAATTTGCTATATTTTTAAAATCCAGGGAATAAAATTAATTATTACCACAGGTAAATATTGTGCACGAGTTCAATTTGGCTATGGCAACGATTTGGCAGACAAAATTCATCACTGCATCCCCAGGTCTTTATTTTTCATGCCCCCTTGACTTTAAAAGGTTGATAGCGAGATTTATACATTGTGATTTATCAACGCCACCATTTTATTTTGAATCATTTGTTAATTTACAAATCGCTGTTAGGAACAAAAAAATCAACCCAGGTTTTCAGCTTGGGATCATTATTTAAAAATTGGCATTGATTTTTATCTTAAAATATCAGCAAAGTATCCAAAATTGTATCAGTACTATAACCAAAATTTTTAATTATGGGGCTGATATTTTGATTGCTATGTTAACATCATGAACTGAGGCAGATTTAGTAGGTGTGAATACCTAAAAAATAGTGTTTCCTTCTTTAGCATTTTCGAGTCAAAAGCAGAGGGTGTGTTAAAACTTATGTTATGACGGACCCATGGAATAAATATTGACCTTCCTACTATGGTCACAGTGACTGGTCCTTCCTGCCCTGTTGGAATACCTAATGACATTAACTCTAAATAAAATAAATGAGTACATTCCACTTAATTTATTTAGCTTACCAGGTATCCTTAAAAAAGATAAATTGTTTTAAACTTAATCACCAAAGAAAAATGTGACTTTCCAAATTAATCTATTTTATTAAATTAAACAAGTTTAATTTAAATATTTCCCATCACGATTGTGTTTCATGTTTTATTCACAAATTTGAATAGAATTTAAATTTCTAATTAATGTAATTTTACAAGGTTATTTGTTTTAACTGAAGAGACAATTTGAAAAAAATGTTAGACCCTAGGAATTTATGTTTTTGGAATGTGTTTTAAATGTCTCACATTCCTCTAACTCTCTAGTTTATTGTTGTAGACCCATGATAATGTTCAATTACTGAACATGTTGAACTATCAAATTAAAAAAAAATTTTTTTAGAGGAAAACTTCTTTAGGAACGTTTTGCCCTTTTTGTATGGGGAGTGAATAAAACTGAACCGTCAAGCTCGGATGTGTTATGCTCATAAGGGAAAAGTCAGCTCGAGTTGATTAATTAAAGTGTTTTTGCATATGGATTAAAATACCTCAGAAACTAAAAACTGGACTTGAATACTGTAGGGAGGGGAATATTCAGTATTTCATTCTCTTTGTAATGAGCTATAAATCTGACGCCGAGTCAGAGAGAAAGAAAGGGAAACCGATAGCACCGAAAAATCAATTAAGAACGACTGTTTTGAACATTTGGACTAAAATATCTCAAAATTTTAATAGCATGGAGAATTAAAAAATTGATTTGTGGAAGTCAATATAGATATATTTTTTAATTATCCATAAAAATAAGAATTTATGTGTTTCTATTCAATTTTCTGTTGCACTTCATAAAGTTTGGACAAATTACTGATCCCCGTTACAGACATTTTATTAAAAAAATAACAGAGTTTTTAGTAGATATTTCATAATCAAAAGTATTCATAACATATTTTAGTTATCATAAACCTACTGGATCATTTTTAGACATTAAGAATATCATATTAAGAGTATGATAGAAATGAACACAGACGGACGTACGGTGAGGAGGTTGCTTTTGAACTGAAGCTCCCACAAAATGGTAAAATATAACTGGTTTATGGAAAAAAATATTAAAAATAATTTCTTAAAGTATTATTGTTCATGTAATTACATTTGATAGGACTTCAAGAATCACTTACAACACCATTTCATATAGATAGTTAGTTTATTTCTTTTATTCTAAAGTGATTTTTGTTATATATATATATATATATATATATATATATAATATGACAAAAAACCTTTCGGGCTGAAGCCTCCCACCCCGAAATTAAATCCTGGATCGACTAGTGCAAATGATAATCAGTCAGAGCAAAGTTTACTACAGTAATTTAAACACAACCATAATAGTATATATTGCAAATGTTATTATTTTGTGAATATAGAACAAAAAGTAGTTTATAAATGACTATAATTATATAAATTGTTAATGTTATTACTTTGTGAATATAACACAAAAAAAAAAAAAAAATTTCATATAATTATTTCGCCTTGATTCAATTCTATTGTGTGATTTAAAGCAGACACCATCGATTTTTTTTTTTTTTTTGGTATTATTCATATTGTGCCAATATTTTGCCAAATGTTCTTGCAAACTTTATTACTTATAGTTTTAGAATATTAATCCATTATTCTAAAGCTGTCACCTGTACTAAGTTTCTTATTTTAACAAAATAAAAATAAATAAATAATTTATTTGATTTTACCTTGGAGTTTCAATATCTGGCACTTGTAGGAAATTACTGCTCTTAGGTTTCTGAGGGCTCGGTAAAGAAGGAACAGCTCTTGCTAATAACTCAGCCACAGGAACTTGTGGTGATCCAAAACCTGTTTGTATACCATATAGCATCTCCTGAAACACTCTAAATAAATATAATGATTAATAGTTTGTAGATAATTTCTGTAGAGTATTAAAATGACTAAAATAAGAAATCTTTTAAATTTTGATTATTTAATTTGACAATAACCTTTTTTCATTGAGAAATAATACATACTGTTTCAATCAATGACAATGGTAATACTAAGAAAAGAGTTCATTCACACCATATTCATAGAATTAAAAAAAAAAAAAATAAACATCTCAAACACTGCAAATTTTTACAAAATGGTTATAAATAAAATATTTATTGTATATCCCTTACATAATCCTTTATCAGTTTATGAAAAAAATTAAGTCCTAATACTAACCTGATTAAGAATTTTGATTTACACATAGAAGAAATTAAATTATTTTTCAAAATGAGAAAATGGAATATTCAGATAGATTATTTATTTATTTTTTTATTTTAATGAAATTTACAACTGTATTACATAGAAAATACAACAAGTAAATGTGACATTGGTAACATGACATGTACAACATCAAGAGAAACTACCCATTGGTAAAACTCAAATTAAAGTTCTATATTAGAAGGTCCTGAGGCCATCTTCTTTTCAGATGCCTCAGAGGGTTATCAGGGATCGAGGAGGAAGCAAGGTTTGAAACGAGAGGATTCAGATGGTTCTGCAGTTTGTTATGGAAGGATAGATATCTGGATTGGGCCAAAACATTAAGGTCTTTATGGATGATTTTATTTGTGACAAAGTAAGGAGCGTTGAGGATTTTACGAAGGATTTTGGATTGTAAGGATTGGATACGAGAGGAATTCAATGGTTTAGTGGAGCCCCAAAGCTCAATTCCGTAAGTCCAAATAGGTCTTATTATTGTCATATATATGAGTCGTTTGTAATCGATTGAAAGCTTAGAGCGTTTGTCTAGTAAGTGCTGCAGTAGTCGAAAACATCGGGCGGTTTCTAGTCGTTTCAGTCTGGTATGGGGGTTCCAAGTGAGTCGTTTGTCAAGGTGGAGTCCTAAGTATTGGATTTGTTCGACAGGGATAAGAGGGCTATTGTTGAAGGATACTGTAGGACAGGAAGTCATAGGTTTACGACGAAGAGTGAAGGTAATTTGATGGGATTTCTTGGAATTTATTTTAATCCTCCAGTTTTGACACCATTTTTCAAGACTTTTGATGTGTGATTGAAGAGTTTGGGATGCAAAAGATGGATCGTTATTAACTGATAGGATACACGTGTCATCAGCATAGGTGGTGATGACAGTGTAGATAGATTATATATTTCGATTTATCAAAATATAAAACAATGAAGATCATATTTTCATGGGAACAATGTGTACATAATGTGTAAGTTCAAAATGGCATAACTCTACAACTAAGGGTGAAAATTTTGTTGAATATTTATTAGTTTTGTAGGGAATTTCATATTTCCTCAAATAAACTAATAATTTACCAAAGAAATTCATATTAACTTTATCCAGTTTTTTTTTCAGAAAATATTTCTACACATATATATGTACATAAATTTTAGGCAAGTTTCATCATAATGATAGTTATTTTAATGCTACAGTCAATAGAAACATGTTTTTCATCTGCCATTTTGAAATGTTACAGTGAGTTTCGAATTATTTGGATGATAATGTTAAGTTTTGAAGATTACTAAGATGACTTGGATCTAATTTGCCAAATTTCAAAAACATCATTCCTATAGTCTCGGAGAAAAGTAGCGAGGGATGGTTTTTTTTTTGTTCGATTTTTGGATTCTAAATATTTTGAAATTTAAAACCTATGATTTTTATTTCTTAATTAGTTACATCTACATGACACTTATTTATGACATTTGATTTTATGCTTTATTTATTTTAACATTCTCACTTTTATTTTCGGAACTAAACTACCTTATTTCATTCTGTTTATTTAAAATAATTAGTATGGAAAGTATATTTAACTTAATTTTAAATAATTAACTAAAAATAATTTGTAAATGTTATTTTGATTTTCTAGGAAATGACTACCTCTCAATCAGTAGTTTGTAATAAGAGATGTTATGCTATTTATATTACCTAGTTTTTTAATTGCAGCTTCACTATTAAGCTTAACTTACCTGCTTCTAACTCCAAGTATTGCTCTAACCCCTATCAGTCTACTTTGCTTTTGTTTATTTTGTCCAACCAAGAAAACTACATCAAACAACTGTGCGTTAACAGTAATATTAGGTTCTGAATTGAGAAATGCTTTGGTAAAGTCCTTTGCTAGCTGATCATAGTCTTCAAACCTATCTCTGACAGAATCCAATAGAGGACTAGAAGGTCTCATATGACCAATTGGTCTCCATGAACCACGCCTAAAATAAAAATAAAATTAATGAATACAGTAAATATGATGTGTATTTTTTAATAATACAACATATCTTCTTGTCCAATAAAAAAAGTTATAAAAAAGGAAACATTTCTCTTTCAGTTTATAAAACAATATTTACCTGTAGGGCTTTGGAATTTGTCCAGTTTCAGCATGATTGGCTAGGTTAGCAACTATGTCTTCCAGCATTTGACTCCTAGTTCTTTCCTGCATTCTTGCAAACTTTGGAGCTGAGTAACTAGCCCTTTCCCCATTAACTATTTTTGTCAGTAGCCACTCCCTGAACATTGGGCCTTTATCAAAAACACTTTGTTCCCATAAATATGGTTTATAAGCTCCTACTTCATCTCTAGTAACTACAGACACCTATAAAAGTGTAAGAGTATAGCCAGTCTCATATCTATTCATAAACATGTACAATTATGTTCAATTTTAGTAATTAAAACTTAACATACAATTTAATAATCACAAATATATATTTTAGAGATAAGAGGGCTGAGAAGGGGCAAGGTATTGCTATTAGCCACAACAGTAGGTATTTCAACATAAACAGAATTAACTAAAGACCCAGAGGTGATTTAAGCTCACCACCTGAAGGTTGTTTTTTAGGGTAACTAATATTCCCCTACATAAACAAATGAGAAATATAATCCACTATAAAATAATAACTTAAAACTATTTACATATCAGTGAATTGTAAAATGTTTGTCATACTTCTCAAAGAGGAAAAATAAAACAAAAATCAGTTCAATTCAATGCTCAGGAAAAATCAACAATGTTGAGGCAGAACATGTATTTTTAAATTAACTTTTACACTGCTCAAACAAACTGAACATGAATGATTATCTTCACTCATGGTTAGCTTATTTATAAAAAAGATAGTTTTTAATTTGTTGAAAGTAATTTCGAAGAAACAGTCAGTTACCTCATATCTTGTAGGTTTCCTCTTGATTCTTGGTGATGTCCTTACCAAAATAAAAGTATGAAGGAAATGAGATTTTATGCAAGCAGGTGAAAATGAGGTGTTGTCAGCTTCCAGAAACACTACACACACTATATCATTGCCAATATGCCTTTTCCGTTGAAGCTATATTTAAAAAAAAAAAAAAAAATTATGAAATGAATTGAAACATAATCTTATACCTGTATAATAATATAATAGAACATTAAAAAATGACTATTGTTGGTACTTGTGAGTTTGCAAGTCGCCACAGAACTTTCCTTCTTATCTGGTGTAACCTCTTGTTACCTTTCCGTAACTTGTGTGTTATTCAATTGTTTTAAGCTTTTTTTGTTCTTAATTTTATATTTTCTTTTTAAAATGGTTATAATAACACTTTAGGAATTGTCGTCTTTGTAAGAAGAAGCTGTCACATATATTCAGAAGTTCGGGATAATTACTAGCTTATTTATCTGGTGCTTCAGTCCAATATGAACCTTGACCTTCCGCACAATCCGTCTCCAGATGTCTCGATCCATCGTCCTCCTCCTCCATGCAGTCACTCCAAGCACAGCCAAGTCCTGTTCTACATCCTTCAGCCTGCTTGTTTTGGGGCGTTGCCTTCTTCTTTTACCTTGGAAATCCTCCCTCATTATCTATTTTGTCATCTGCCCTTCTGGCAACTTTTCAATATGACCAAGCCAACTTAGCATTCTTGATTTAACAAATCTGACTATATCCTTATGCCCTATGAGATTATCAAGAATCAACAGGATAATTCCAAAGGTGAAATTATGTGAAGAATAAAATGGGGTTTGACAGGAAGACCAAATGGAGATGTTTTTGTTGGAGTTGCAGGAAAAATGTTTCTATAAGAAAAGGAACGTAGTTAGAGGGTTTAAGAATTACCTTTTTAACGGCTTTAAAAGTGATTTATGGCTGGTCTCATAATTTAACAACAATATTACGGGACTCAGCTAAGTGACGAAGTAAAAAACATCGAGGAACTGCGAGGCAACACCTGAATTCCTGTTTATGAGAATTTTCATGGCGGCAGGTCCACAGAGAAGAGGACTCATTCCTAGCTATTTTAAATACCATTAAGCTATCTTGTCTCCCAAAATAAACAAGATATTGTAAAATAAAAGTGTTTTATATGCTGTGATATAAGGTATAAAGTATGTATTATATGCTATATATATAAAGTGTTATATATGTTATATTTTGTCTCTAAAAATAATTAAAATATAAAAAAAAAGTGTTATATATAATATAAAATTGTTATGTTATTATTATATTTCTTCTTGTGTATTTCAATTTCTATAAATATGAATACAAAGATAGATATTATCAATATCGGAATTATCAAAGTTCAGGTTATAAACATTGGTGGATAGCAGTCCATGGTGACCAGCTAAGTCACAAGTACCCTATTCTCTAATTTAATGAATGAATGAATTTGATATGTTAAGAGAATGGAGAATGGAGAATGCTCAATAATAAAAGAAATTGTTCTTAATGCTTCATTATTTGGGGATTAGAAGAGTATGGAATTCAGGAAATACTGCTAAAATGGAAATAAAGGCTAGGATATACAGCATAAAAAGTACAATTTATCACAATTTATGATAAAAAATCAAAGATTATTTACAAAATTTAAATACTGAAAACTCGGAAATAAATGATCATAGATAAAATATGGATAATAATTCTAAAAGAAGAATTTTTTGACAAAAGTGATTAGCTTGAACAAGTAATAATCATTTTAAATTGATATACAAGTAATAATCATTTTAAATTGATATAACTAGTGCTGAAGCATATACATTTTAATAACTTGATAATTAATGTTACGAATAACCATCAACGAAAATATATTTATTTGGTGTGGCTTACTGGTTCTTATTGGGGCAACTAAAGAAATAAAACATAAATAATGTTTAAAATTAAATTAAACCCGAAAAATAGTACAATTTATGACACATTGGTACTACTTTCAAATTTAAAGCCTATTAAATAGTATTATAAAAAAATGTAATGGAACATCTTTTATAAATTATTATTGATAAAATTATATTTAGCTCAATTAAAATGCAATTTATCTTGGGGGACTTATTTTTTTTTTATAAGTAGATTTTTACAACCAATTACCTTCTGTGGATCATGTTTTTCATATGGAAGGAGTGTTGAAACATGAAACATAATTTCTATACTTCTCCAGTTTGTATAAATTGAATAGAGGCCAGTAAGATCGTGAACTGTATCCAGTCCCCCTTTGTATTTATCAAACCCTTAAAAAAAAAAAAAAAAAGAATAAATACAATTTATTATTTAACCAAGGAAAACATTTTTTCCCTATAGAGTCAATAATGTAGAAAATGAGAAGAAAACAAGGATAGGTTATTTACATATTTATTATATTGAAACTGGTGGAATCAATCATCAACATATAAATTTACTTTAATAACCAAGTTTATTATTTATTAGTCATTAATTTGTTCCATTATTATCAGGCAGTTCTACACCCAAATATAATTTTTTCAAAAGTTAGAATGATAAAACATTATTGATTCTCCCTACAACACTTAAGGAGACAGCCCTGATGAAGGCCTGAACTTCAGGTCGAAACGTCGGCATATGTAAAAATAAATATTATCATTTATTTTTGCCTTCTTTTTTGACTGACGATCCCAACTATTCTTCTCTTCATAAAACATTATTGTTTTTTTCTTTCCCTTTATGTACTAAAACCATTCTACTATTGAAAATAATATTCTCATATTTTCAATCTACACTACAAATAATGTGACAGTATCCCTTTTCTAGCTCTCAGGAGCGATGGATTTTAATGAATGAGGTATCAAATGAAAGGGAATTTCACGGAGAAGTGATACCAAATATATTAGTACAAATTCAGGGAGAGCTGTGTCTTTTTTGTATAACTATTAAATTCAAGGAAATTTATTTAACGGGACAACTTAATCTCTTATTAAGTAAGTTGGTATGTTAAATTTTGTTTTTGAATAGATTACCTTGCTAATATGATATATCATATAAATATAAATAAACATGTTTCACTGATGTTGGTAATGTGTTGAGTGCATTAGGGAGAGGGATAGCTCACTAATCCAATGGGGTATACATTGTTGTAAATATCATGAAATAATTTAATTTTCAATTGCAATAATTTCAAGTACAAATAATTATCTAGAGAACTTGAAATATTATTCTAATATATTAATAAATAAAGCTCATTATGTATTTACACAATAAAGTAATCCATTGGAATTATATGTGAGATAATAAGAAATGCAAATAATAGACTACCATGAATATAGTATTAGCCCACCTTTAAGCCTCACTTTTTCGCCTAAAATTTGTAAGAATTCTTGAAATAATGGGCTATTTTCATTGTTGTCTAATATTTCTTCTTCCATATATTGACCTTCTTTAACATATATAACACCAACTTTCAGTTCAGATTTAATAAAGACCTGCAAAATTGAATACATGTATTTAATAATTGTGGAATGAACAAGCAGCCAAAAGAGTTCCTTAAATTAATTTAAAATTTATAATAAAAATTTGTAACTCAAATGCAAGCAATACATGTTCTTAAATAGAGTAGAATAACATAAATATGACTAGTAGATACATGAGAGTTCTACTTAACTTTGGTGGACTCTCTAGACTTTTTCATATGTTATAAATAGGAATATTTAATGTTCTGCACCACAAAAAACAAAATATTCAACACATTGTATATTATCACAACCGTGAGGATAATAAAAGTTACATCTACTGGTATTGATTATAGACAAAGAGGATATAAACAAATGTTTGTCTATTGTAGAAAGGTTTCACTATATTTGGATATATACTTTCTAACACTTTTGTATTATACAGAAATCATATCAATAGTTATGATTATATTGCTGATGTTTTAAACAAACAAATTAATAAAATTTATTTCAATAAATAGAATAGAATACCTGGTCTAACTTAAGAAGCTCTTCAGGAGTATCTGGTAATTGGCCAAGAGTCAAAGGAGGGTTAAGATTAACTTCTTTTCCAAGGGAACGAACTACTTCTTCCCGGTTATAGCGATCAGCAAAAACACAAGATGCTGGGATCAAGCCATGAGCTGTGTAACTGATAGCTCTAACTAAGATCCTATAAAAAATGTTTGGTGTTAGAAAAATAATAGACTTCTAAACAAATAGAATGAACTACATTACAATTATCTTAAATGAATAAACTTTCAATGATCATAGTTGAATTAAGCAGGTGGATATTTTAATGTAATGACTTCCCAAATTTCCTGTATAGTAAAATTTAAAAATACAAGATACAAATATCCTAAGAAGGTAATCAATAAATCATGAAATGTTATCTATAACAGATATAGAATAGAAATAGAAAAATTATCCATCGTCTATACATAGTTATAAACAATAAAAATAAAATAAATATATTCAAAACAGATGAGAAAATGTGAAATAAGATAATCACTACTTAAATATAATAATTCAGAAAAAAAAAACCTGTACCACTTCAACCCATGAAGGGTCTTGGGTTCAGTAATAGGTAAGGAATTATTGTTTCTTGGTCAATGGTTGTGCAAGGAAGTGATTTGACTCAGGACACAGAAATGGTAATTAAATTAATTATATTAGTGACACATCTTAACTAACAAAGAAGAAATAAATAAATAAATTACTATTTCTGTCATTTAAAAAATGCATAGCTAGATAAATATAATTGTTTAGAAAATGTGGTCAATAAATTAACGTATTAATAAATTGCACCCAATGGCTCTGTATAAAGCGATATGAAATATGTATTCATATTCCTTTAAAAAAAATATATAAATATAAAGGAAAATTAATCCTTATTACATAATACATAGTTAGCCTGTGTTGTATAGATTATGAAGAGGGACTGGAAAAAAGGAGTTTTAAATGTGGATAAGGAGAGGACATGGCAAATTTTAAGAAGGAAAGAATTCCAAGAATTGGAGGAGTGGCAATGAAGGAACTTTGGAATGAAACAGGTCTATGAAAAGGGGTATAGAGGTCAGAGAGTCGAGATCTTGTGAGAGGGAATGGATGGAGGACTTGAATCGGAGGATATTGTAGGCATAGGATGGATGATGGTTGTTGATTATTTGGTATAGGAATATGCCTAGGAAGTATTGTCATCTGAAGGAGGGGAGAACCAACCTAACTAAACATAATAGTGTGGAACACAGGAATGTCTTGGGATTTCATTGATGAATCTTTTGAAGGTAATGGATATGGATGACTGTTGAGAAACCTTCCAAATTATTTTGGTCCTTTTGTTGACGCAAGTTCCAACAAGAAAATTTGAGACATAATAATGAAATTTTAGGTTTAAATTTGACAGAAATCATTGAGTTTTACAGGTATGTTGTTGGCACAAAGAGGAAAACATCTCCTCTAAACTATTTTTAAGTTAATTTTTTTTTTAACTTACAAAGATTTTATCAAGGATTCAAAAAAAGTTTTAAATTATCATAAAAATCAAGCTACCAAGTGTCTTTCACTGTGACTTCTAAACTGTATAAAAAATTAGGAACAAGTAAATAAAGTAGCTACTAGCTTACCTAAACTGGTCCCTCCCATTTAGCATTTCCTGTTTTATACTTAAGATCACAGGCCCTAGATCTTCATCATTAGTGAAGTAGTTCCAATGCTCATGACCGTAGAAATATTTTTCATATGTCTCCTGTTCGACTGAAGTCAACTCAAAGCACTGGTTTTTCTCCCATTGCTCTTCAATCACACTCTTCTTTCTAATAGAAAGGAAATCAGAATTATATGTAAGACATAATTAATAAAATATATGATTTTAAATAAGTGTAATTTAATGAACATTTCTTTGACTAGTTAATAAGTTCCTTTCCCTTATGATGTACAGAAAGTAAAATGAGCTAAATTTTGATCAAATGATTAAGAAAACATTTATTATTAACGATGATAGTTATTTCTGTTAATTAGCAGAACAAAAATTGACTCAAATTATTGCTTTTTAATCCAAAGCTATTTTAATTATTAATTATACATATTTTATGATTAATGCAATAAACAAGTAAAAGAATACCTCGGTTCATCTTCTTCATCCTCGAGGAGCTGTGGGTGCCTGTAATGGTACTCATCACCACCTTCAGCACCCCCTTCTCCTTCTTCATCTCTTTCCGACTCACTCTCATCCCATATTGTATCGGAGGCAATTTTTTGTCGTGAACACTCAATCCAATAACCAGGGGTCGGAATTAAGTTATGAGGATATTCTTCACAAAATTCATCTATAAGTCAATGAAGTATAAATTAGAAAATTTCATCTTGAACTTTTTAATCACAGTAGTATGAATATGTAATTGTTATTCACTTTATCTAAACGAATAGCTCTTAAGAGTTCTTGAAATTTAGGCTATGTTAAAAATATCTTAGACATCATAGATTTTTTCTTCAACATATTTGAAGAAATATTGTTACTAAATTGTTTGATTTTAAAATTTTTCGAATTGGCGGATGTAGCTTTTCTGTTATCAAAGATTACATGTAAATTCAAACTTTACTTTCCTATATAATCTCTTATGAAAATTAAAAAAAAAAAATATTAACATTTGTGTGATTGCATTATAATATAAAAAACAATATAAAATATAAAAACATAAATAATAAACAGTTGAAAAATAAAATAAGTATATACAAAGTGAAAATAAATAATAGACTCTGAAAGTATATTCAGATATAAAAAACCACTAAGATGATTACCTAACATACTCAGACCAATAGTATCATTTATAAATTCACCAATGTATGAATTTTCAAAATATTTAGCAAATATAAAGCAATATAAAATTAATACAGGAAATAATTTAATTAACCATGGAAGAAAATTAATAACTCAAATTCACTAAAAAGCAGCAGAGAAAAAGTAGTTGACATCATTTTAAATGATGGCTATATACATAGACTCATTTGCAATTCACTAAAACAAGCAAATATATCACAAACACAACAACAATTCCATAAACCCAATAGTAAAAGATATTACACAATACCTTACTTACATACTTGGAAAGACTAGCAAAAATACTTACCACTACCAAAAATAATAATGACTACGCCATTACATTAAAAAAACTTCTGTTTTATCAAAATTATTCAATAAAACATAGGACAAAGAGACATTACAATTGCATTAAAATAAATTATATGAAATTCATGGTGTTCACTATATTCAGAACAAATATAGTTACATGTTGAAAACAAAAAACCTAATAAACCTGATCAAACTGTACTTAATAGATATTTCAGCCAAACAAGACATAGTTATAATCTGATTCCTCCACCATAATATATCAAAAAGAACCAATCTACAAGAATCATACAATATATAAAACAAATGGATTTCCAAAATTTAATTGCATGCTATTCAAATTTAATGAACTCATATTAAGAAAGACCAATATTAAATGGAAACAAAATTAAACAGTAATAAATCTATCATAATATAATATATACCATACAAAAAGTCATATATTACCCGATTATTAAGATGTGAATTTCAATTTCAATTTTCAACAATTGTAAGTACAAGTTTGTCACTATTCTTCTTTTAACTTATTTTACTAGAGTTTGTCACAAAATGAATGTAATGAATTTGAACAAAAATGAGGTAGAGTATGAATATGAGAACAATAAAGTCTCGAAATATAGTTGTTTATGAACTTCAAGATAAAATATATATATATATATATATATATATATATATATATATATATATATATATATATATATATATATATATATATATATACATATAAATATTCACTATTTACTAGTACAGAAAATATAAATCAATAATTTATGTAGAAAGAGAGGGAAAAATTAAGTTTCCAGAAAAAAAATCTATCAAAATTCAATTTTAGGTTCAAATAGAAAGGTGCCAATGCAAATTGCTTCACAGACCACTTTGGTGACCTGTAATGTGACTACAGCATTACTTTCGATAAACTGACTTAAAAAAAATTAAATGAAAAAATAAATAAAACATTGTTGTTATATTATGATTCAATTTGATTAACTTGTAATTCTTAAATAATGATGTATTTTTTTATCCTTCATATCACTAAATATTCCTAACTCATTCAATAAAATTTGGTGTTTAATATCTAAACTAAAACTGTTTAAAACTGCTAAAAATAGAATATCTAATAAAAAACGTTTTTTCATAGACCATTCATGCATTATAATATTTTGCACATTGTATAAAATAATAATACTACATATTATATAATATAACAGAAATATAAAATTGCTCGACGGGCTACACAATGTACACATGGCTTCACCGAATCCGAGCCACTCCACAGCTGTATGTAGCTCCCTCTTGATGAAACCAAACATACATAAAGGCTAGGTTAGAGCAACACACTGGGACTAGCTACGGCCATGTTCAGTTTCATCAAGGTCTTCATACGGCTGTGATGCAGCGCGGATACAGCGCGGGCATGTGTGTCACAATTTGTACTGTGGCAGGCCTGATACTAGCCTATACACATTTTATGAATAAAATATATTCACTATTACAACAACTGTGGTAAAGTTTTGTATGACAATATTAAAAGTAATATTTCAAACATTTTGAATCTCTTTTGCTAAAATAAGAACTATAGTGAACGTTTGAAATAAATAATTGATCTAAATTAAAACTGTTGTTGAAAAAAAATGAAGTAAACAAAATATCTATTAATTTCTTAGGAAGAACGCTTGTTTCAATTAAAACTTCCTGTTTCTATTGTATCAAAACAGGTATACTATGGTATAGAGCAGATCCAAACAAACAATATTTTATGTTTTTTAAAACAGTCAGAACTTTTCTAAAGGTCTACTATTTTACAAAATATACTCACATTAAACAATAGTTAGTCATAAAATTGTGTTTAATTATAGTTAATAATTGATAATTTTATATAATTAATATAAAATGGGAAAGTTTATACAATCGTAAAAATCATACAATTTTTTGAATAATTTGTTGATAGTAATGGCATCCAATGATATAAAATGAAAAAATTATTTTATATAAAGAAACAAAATACATATTTGTTTTCTTACAATATATTGTATGTATACATATAAAATCATGAAAAGTTATTTTCATGTTAGATTTTCAAACAAAATTTAAATAGTACTTTACAAAAATACTACTTCTTTAGTGGTTACAGACAGAATTTAGGATATACGAGTACAATGTTTGATTTTTAATTTTACAAGATCTTCATTCAAAAATGAAAAAATAGAATTCTCAGAAATAGAATAAAATTTCCAATTACTGGCTGTCTTTCAAACACAATTCTTGATTTTTTCCGGCTTTGAAATTCAAGCAGAGTTCCGGAGGTATTCTAGGCTGCAGGTGATAATGCATATAAGGAATGATAGTGCATAAAAATATTTAAAACATAAATTTATATATCTGAAAATGATATAAATATAATCATTACCAATTAATTATAACTATCAAAGAAAAACTAATTTGATTTTTATTTTCTTGCCATTTTTATGTCACGTTGAGTGTTGTTATCAGAGGTGAGTGATTTGTTCCTAAAATGATGTCATAACTGCAGCAACTATTAACTATTACTCTATTAACTGAATGAGTGATCATTGATTTGGGAAAGAAGAGAGGAAGCTCTTTTAAGTGATTCATGATCTTGGATATATCAAATTGGTTGTGTAAGCTAAATGGCAAACATGTTGGAATAAGTATAAAAAACAAAAAAACAAAAAAACAGCCAATACAGCCTGTGGAGGGTCTTAGTCTCAGTGTTAGTAAGAAGATAGCTTCTTCAACAGTGGTTATACAAAGTGTAAATTTTACGTTAAATATCTAAATCTACACATAAACCTATAGATGATACTTGATGGCGGGGATTTTCTTTTCTGCTTTTTAAAGATGATTAGCAAAAGCCCACTCACTGTAAGGTAGAACACCAAACGATGCAAACTTCAGGGCTTGGTGTTCGAGCTTAGAGTGAGTCAGCTCATGCAAAATAACTTTTCTTCTTGTTTCTTGAGATTCATGTTTGGTTTTAAAGTTGAACAACATTCAATTCAAAGCATAAACAAGGTTCACATGTTTGTTGTCTAATATACAAGATATTAGAAATATTATATATAAAGTCCACAGCATTTTAAAAGACTTCCATAATTTTATTCATTATTTTTTAATAAGAATACACATGATGGCTGAAGTTTTGGGGCAACCATCCCCATTTTCAAAACCATTGTTTTACATTTAAAAGTAATCTACAATTATATTGACTTTAACTATAATTCTTAATACTACTAGTATAATTCTTTATATAACAATTAAGATATGTTTACCATTCCAGTGTAAATATAAATATAATTAAAACATCTTCCTATCATGTTTTAATTATCTGTGCATGCGAATGAGGAAGAAGGAGTTCTAAAGATGGAGATGGGTGGTTGCTCCAATAAATGGATCCTCATATGGATTGTTAATAAAAAATAAAGAACAAAATTATAGAAATCTTTTAAAATGCCTTTGATCTTGCATAGACAAGTGGATTCTAACCAAATTTGAAAATAAAAGAATTATAAATTTTAATTCCTTAACTTAAACTTAAACCCTACATTTTTTAAACAACTAATTAATTTTTTATAGAGTATCAATTATTTCTAAACAACCTAGTAATAAACTATTCCATATTGATAGGGGAAAAGTTGCAAATTAACAATTATCCAAACATTCATTAATTTTTAAATTTCTAATTGTAATTATAACCTTAATATGTTTTTCATGGTCTGTTTTATTTATTATAAAAGTCTTTCAAGATATAACTAGCTAAAAAACAAGATATAAAAAGCTAAAAAAACAAACAAAATAAAGCCACTTTTTTCCTCTCATGGAAAGTTTTAGAAAATACAAACATCCTTTAATGTTCAATTTCTTTTACTTGGGATGCATTAAAAAATAAACTCAATTTCATACCATTTTTAAATTTTAATAGTTAATAACAACAAACAAAAATTCTTTTTTTGATGAAACAAAACAACCACCATACCTGAACAAGCTTGAGGAGGGAGAGGGAAGATTAGAGTAGTTGAACTTTTTCTTCTAGCTACGGCGCAACCAAGTGACTGTGGTTTGAAGCTACGCAGTTGCTGCATAAAATCAGAGCACTCCATGAGGGCGACATCTGCAAAGTGCAAATCACAAAGGATCTGGTTCTTGAACCGACGTGCTCTTTTTTGGTTGGGACCTGTCAAGTTGAGACCACATGAATTGCACCTCAAGCATTCTTCATGGTAGTGATTGTTGTCGTACAGGGGGGATGGCTCTGGGAAAAACAAAACTGTATTAATATTATACAAATACTTTTATAAAATTCATTATTATTTAAAAAACAAAATAATTCCATTTAGAATAAATTAATCCAATGTGCTTGGGATAATTTTATAATGATAGCTGATTTATTATATCCAAAATTAAAATCTTCATCTTATCAACATTTAAACATGAATGAATTTTCAAAAATTCTTATTTCTGATTTTCAATTAATTTAAAGAAATATTAATAATTTATAGATAAAAGTAGTCAATGATGCTAAGTACTATAATAAATTTAAAAAATCTATAATTATATTTTTGATAAATTTTTATCTTTCTCTAAACAAATATATACATTTATATCTTGTGAGCTGAATACATGCAGCATCTTATTATTTATCGTTTCCAGCTATTGAAAAAAAAATGTCGGTAATTATATTTTAACATGCCTTTTTAATAAAAATACAGTTGTGTGCTACTTCATTAGACATAAGCATAACATGCGTAACTGGGTGCAAAGTAAAATGCCCAACTTCTACCAATTGTAGCTAATAAAATATTTTAAAGCGCTTAATGAATGAAAAATGATCATCTTAATATATGTTAGTTTTAAATTTTTTGTAATGTATGTACTGGGTTCAGATTCCGTAGTTATGGTATTAATAAGTAGATCTTGTGAAAAATGTTAAGAAGAGAAATAAATGAATTTGTTTTTATGCATGTTATTTTTTACTGATCCTATAAATTTTTCAGTAAGAACGGTGAGTTAGATTTCATACAATATATATTTAAGTGGGTTGAGAAGGTATTATTTGCAAATGCGATGGAAAGAATATAGAAGTATGATATGCTATGAATGTGTCCCTTAGAATCATTTGATCAAAATTGTCCACAATATTTCAAGCAGAGCAATGCCTACTATTGGAAATGAATACTCAAGTAATTCTGAAGAGAATATTTGAGATTAATGTTTATCTGAAGTTTAACCATGTGGGTGAAGTGAATCAACAAGTATCAAATTACATGGAGGTGTTCTTGTGAATTTGTTAATTTCAAATGATGAATCTGTTTCATGATAATAATCAATTCAGACATACAAACTTGCCATGAAATTTTAGTAATTTTGAATTAACCTGTTGTTTTTGCATTCTTTGTTAAAGTTTGTATGTTTCAGTTGATGTGTCAGTAACAGTGGTATATTAACGATTGATCTCGTCGAAAATTCGTATTCGGTTCCCTGGGATTCAATTATTTTATAATAATTCTAATTATAAATAAATAAGCATTAGTACAAATAGTGGTGGCAGGGGGAAGTGGTGCAGTTGTGTGTAACAGGTAGAAGTAGGCTACGTACTCACTGGGGAAGTGAAGTGGTAAGTATTTTTTATAAACAAAATTATTTGTTTTGAGAGACAAGGCGCGTACTCCAGATGGCCGTAGAGCGAGGTGCCATGTGCCGAACCAGGAGGGGGCGGTGTCCCTGGAAGTGTGTGTCCGCGCCTCTCAGCTGTTCGCTCACAGCGCCCTCCACAGGCAATCAATACCAAACCTACCCTGCACTAGCCTAACACTTGTTGATATCCTCTCAATGATGTCTTCTATCTCAGTAGTTCCTTCATTCTCATCGCTGGTTAATTCAACCGGTTTTTGGGACATAGGGTGGGAAGCAGGGCATACCTTCGGCTAGCTTGTTGATTTTGAGTACCGTATCAATGCCGCTAGTATAACCCGAGGTGGATCAGCTTATAGAACGTATCTATGTAAATGAATAACTTACTAAGTTATTTCTGTTCTTCATAATTGTACTTTATAAATTAATGTGTTGTGATTTGCTAAGATGTATTTGGTTGCAATTTTAATATAACGTATACATATATAATGTTAATATACATGTACATATCAATAATTTATTTTTGTCGATGCTATGGATTGTCAGTTCCTAAGATTAAATTACAGTTGTATTTAAACTCATGATTATAGAAATGTAGCTATACATAAAGAAATTGACTCATGCTTCAAGTGAATTTCCGAATCTTTTTAAGGTCTGAAGAAAAAACGGTCGATCGTTATTTATAATCCTTTAGGATGTGAACAACATTTGTTCTTTTCTTTCTTTTTTTTTTTTTAAATAGTAATGTTCTTAATAATATTTTTAGGTTTAATGTTAATGTTTGTAATCTAATGTGACCATTGAAGTATAGTTGCTATCAATTCATTTCTTTGATACAAATTTTGTTAAGACAGTTACAAAAAACAAACTTATGCTTATTTATTTTGTTTATGAAAATGACATATTTGGACTTAAAGTAAAATTTCCTTTTACTCTTAAGCTCGAATGGATAGTTATTAGTACACAAGGTTAATGTCCGTCATTCGGGAAGAAACCTGCCTTAGCCACCGATATCAACATCAGTATGATTTTAATAAGGTTCCACCAAAATTTCAGCAAAATTGAACATTTATAGTTATTTTATTTTTTAGTTATAGAAATTGAAATTATTGTCCATTCTTTTTCATCTCTTTCGCGAAAATACTGTGAATACTCGATATCGATATCGGTGAATACTCGCGAAAATACCCGATATTTATACCGCGGAACATGTTGCTTTCCGCTGACAAAAGATTCAAACATCCTATGAAAGGATTATCACTACATATTGAACAAATGTAGGTAATAATGTTAATTTTAGAATCTTTATTAGAAGAAAGTATAGCTTTGTCATCACACGTAGATAGTGATGGAAGAATACCTATTGAGTAGCTATGTTTTGAATATTAAAGGTAACGTTAAGAGAATCCAAAAGATGGCAGTATATTGAGGGAAGAAAGGTAAAAATCGAATAGGCATCCAGAACAGAATAATAAATCAAAGGAGGAAAAATGTGGACTTAGGACTGCTAAAAGTAAATAATAATGTAGATTTATGGTGATGAAACAAAATCGCCAGGAATTTCAGTCAAGATTCAGTTAGCCGACATTTCCACCCAAACATTTGGGTCATCATCAGGGCTAAAATTACAAAAAAAAAAAATCAGTAAAATAATACATATAAAAGTGTAAGAGTAACACGAGCTCATAATAACAGTAACAAGGATAAATAAGTAAGATAATAGTAATAAGAGTAAAGAATAAAATAGTAAAATGATAAAAGTAAAAGTATACTGTAATAAAAACATTGAAACATGATAAGAAAATGAGTTTTTTTATATAAATAAATGAGAATAGTAAGTACATCAAAAGTAGGTATTAAAAAAACAAATAATTAAAGTAAATAAAATAATTCATCCTCATAAGTGATCAGTCGACTATTTACCATTCTCTAAATATAGATTTATTTAACTTTCAACCAATTAACTATAAATATTTAATAAAATCATAAAACAAGAAATTTAAAGTAGTTTTGTTCATATATTGGAGATGGTACTAAAATTAAGAATTACCGATATCAAATAATTCTTTGTTATTTCTGGATTATTTTGTATCAATAAATACCAAAATGAAAACAAGGATAAAGGGAACAATGATATTTGACAGAATTGAAATACAGAGATACGAGTGGATGGTAACATTCAAAGTGGCCGATGGTTAAACAAATTTGGATTGTTAAGCTCGGTTCGATTATTGTCTCTTGAACCCTAACAATAAGCTGTACAATGAAAGGATAAACCAGTTTATTTTATTTGGACTTATGTTTCTGATTGAAACATTCATGACTTTAACAAACTATTTCAAAGATAAGGGTTTTTAGAACTCATTCAAGAAAAAAAAACTAATCAGAAACTGTTCTATTTCGACCAAATTTTCTACGGTAAAAGTTGTTAAGTCGAAGAAAGAGGCTTCCATAATAAACAGGTTCAAGACTTAAGTATTATTTGAGGAAAACAAATATAATGATAACCCTCAGGAATGTATTCAATAAGTTAAGTATATTACAACAGCTGTTTATTCGAATGTTACTCGCATGAGGAGGACATGCAAACAGTTTAAATTCGATTTATTTTTCTTACAAGAAAAACTTTTTCTTAACTATCTTTTTATATATTTTTTCTTTAGTTCTAGTTTATGTTAATGCTCATTTAGTTTTTTCTAAGGATCTTATCATTTATTCGAAAATATTCTATTAATTCGTTTGTTTTGCGTGAAACTATTTTTATCAGATAAATATCTAAATAAATGGATTTCTTAACTAAAATATTAATCGTCAGTGAAATACTAAAAACTGGCCGCAACGGAATCTTCCCCTTTATCGAATAATAATTGAAAAAATACATAACTTTCTTTACCCATAGAATTTCTCTCTAAAGCACACAAAAATAACATCCAGTAAGTAATCTCGAATTTCCATTGCGACCGAAATTCAATACAAACAAAGAAGATTAAAAAAAAATCAGACCTGACAATGCTTTCCTGTTTACACTTCAGGCCAGTATTTTCTTTCCGCTTTAAAAATGTTGCCTGTACTTTTTACTGGTGAATACCTGTGATTGATTATATTCACCATAAATGAATTCAATACAGTGTATTAATAAATTATACTACAATATAGTAATAGTTTGAATCAAAAGCGGTACCTCTCAAAGTGAAATCGTTTTCATGTTTTAACATCTTTATTTTTTCTTTGAAAATGAAAATATGTAATAAGAAAAAAAGAGGCGTTAAAAAAAAGAAAGAAATTCCACGCATATTCTTGAAATATGACATCTCTTGATTATAAATACGAAATGAAATTAAATAAATATAATTACAATTAGCGAACTTCTTCAGAGGTGATTCCTCCAGTATTTTGAAGAATCGAAATTTAAATGAAGATGCAATTAATTTTGACGCTAAGAATTAATTTAATCTGATGGCGCATGTCA